ACATATAAGATTATATAAGGATAAATATAGAATAAATTATAAATATAAATAAATATGATTATATAATGATAAATATATGAATAAATAGATAAAAATAATTCATAAATATACATATATATATAAAATACTAGCGGACGTACCCGGCTTCGCCCGGGTTTTACCCGAGTAAAGGTTTGTCTAACGAATCTCTCGATAAAGTGAACATTTTTTCCCGGTCCCTTGAATAATACTCGATAAGTTGAATAAAATCAATATTAATTGGTTCCCTCGGTAATTGGAAGTTAAAGGAATAGTATCTTGCCTTGGAATTGTATCATTATTCTTGTCTCAAATAAATTGCCGTGTCATCCTGAATTTTGTCTTTCCTAATTTTCTACATTACAAAATCATCGTATCATCATGATAATATTTAGAGCAGATTGTTGAATTATAACAGATAAATTAAAATATTTATCTTGATTATTTTAAAGCGAAAAGTTATTTCAAAAATTGTATTTGCTAGAAACCTTCCCAGTACTATACTAAATAACTTCCCAAAGTTTCATGGCGTTCCAATGAGTGGTTTGGTCAGGCATAAAGGACAAACAGACACACACACACACATACATTCATTTTTATATATATAGATATACAAGGTCTTCATTGGTGGCGCCCACCGCGGGAAAAACTCCGCCACCGATGGACTGTGAGAGTTCTTACCCACAGAGTGGGCAGGTCGATGTGTTGACTGGCATTACCCAACTCAAGACCAAGATGGTACTTGTAGATGGTAGCCTTCGCAAAGAGAGAGAATATGGATTTACGGGATACTAACCAAAGTGTATGATTTTCGAATCCATATAATCATAAAAGTTTATATGTTCACTTTACTCTAATAATTGTATCATGATAATATAAAAACACAATTTTTTAATAATTATGATCACAAGATATATATGACTTATTTTATTTCAATTTAAAGCGCTATGTCCCCCTAGGGACACTTGCGCTGTCATACATGTATGTCTTTACATTTGTCTATACATATATATACAATAATTTTAGGGCGTGAATAGAATAGTCATATGATGTTAACAATGAGAAAGGGAGAAAAAAAAACGAGAAAAAAGAACTGTGTACAAAAGAAAGAAGTGTCTGGCAATATATACAATAAGCATAATATATATTATCAGTTTCTTAGATAAGATATATATGCTTTGATATAAAGTATATAGACAGTAAATAAAAATTCTGTTTAAAAAGTATAAATAAGAAAATACATAAGAGAAATAAGAAGATATAATGAAGTAGTACAATAAATTTGTCTTTGGCTTATGTTAATTTGTTAAATTAGATAAAGTTGAAAACATTATTTCTTAGTTCAGTTATCTTCAAAATTAACCTTCTCCAGTACTACGAGCTAATGATATAGTTTATAATATTGCCACGTGAAAAATTAGGAAAGACAAACTTAAGGATGAGACAGGAATTCATTTAAGGCAAGAACAAACTATGAATGATAAACAAAAGATAAGCAATGAGGGAAGTTTACAGAGTAACAAAATATAAACATGAAAAAATGATACTCTGTTAATAAAATAATAAATACTTTGCTACAATATAATTCAAGGAAGTTCATTTAAATTTTATGAATTCACACACCTTAATTTATTGCTACTACTATCGTTTGCAAATAATTAAAAAAAACTTTTTCTCCAAATAAAAAATGCATTTGGTTTATATTTTATAATGCTTTTATATAGAGATGTACTTTTTTATATTTCTTCTATTAATATTTCTTGAAAATAAAGATAATTCGGCCAGTAAATCTTTTTAATTGGAGGTAATAAAAAGATATACTGGCCGAAGTATCTTTATTTTCAAGAAAAATGAATACAGGCCAGGCAGCCTCTATCTTTACAATTCTTCTATTAATATTATCGCTTATTTATTATACACAAGAAATAATTGAGTTCACTTATTCTTAACCAAATTTTAGAAGACTAGAAAACCAATTCTTAAAAATAAATTTATTGGTTTATTGACGCCCAGGGCTAGAGTAGAGAACGCCCGAAATAGTCCTATAGGGGGACACAAAACTAGAATTTGAATCGTTAAAAGAAAAATACAGGAATTGATTCGTCGAAGGTACAATACATAGGAATATTATTTGGGACGCTTGGGGCTTGGGGTATTATGGAGCTAGATATAGAATGTCTCATCAGCAATCAAAATAAGTGAATAAACTTCAGTAAATAACATCGAAAGGAAACATTTTACCTGTCGAAAACACTCATCTTGAAAGCTTTGAATGATGAAAATATCCTTTGAGGTAAAGCTAAAGACGAGAAATGAGGCTCACACAGAGAACAGAATAAAACTATGAAGAGTTTTCAAGTTAGACAGAACATATCATTTGAGAATGATTGATGATCATCATTGATGATCATGATGATGAATAACTAGAATAAAAAGCCTAATGCCTAATAAGCAATATATCCGCTGGTTTGCAGGCGCTGATATAATAAAAGATTGGTTTAAGGAAGATAGTATGTAACATTGTTCCATCCATGCATCGTAAACGCAGTGTCATCGGCATTAAGCCAGTGGGCGGTTAAATCGTTGTAAGATGGAAAGAAGGACAAAGATCTATAGCCATCGATGATTTGACTTAATGGTTGGAAACAAAGAGATTTAATTGTTAACAGACGGTCTGGAAGAAGAATAGAACAAGAAATCAAAAGGTCTTATTTGTTTACATATGCTATAGGGTGCTTACATATATAATATGAGCATAAATAAATTATATATTATGTATTGAGTACATTTTAAGAAATGTAGCGCGCGCAACACGTGCATGCAATAAATACATGGTTAACTATAGAGAATTTGAAGAATTGTACAGTAATCAATCAATCATATCAAAACAGTTTGATGTACATAGGCAATTTGAAAAAAGCAAGCCTAAAATTATCCATATTCAAAACTCTAATGTAATGCTTTTTTAATTGGACATTATTCTTTTTAGATTTCGCTTGCTAGCGTCCGGAACACAATTAGCCTTTCAATAACCTTAAAACTATTTTACACCAATAACATAAAATACAAAGCAATACGTTGTATAAATCAAACAGTTTATTCAGTGTAAATTCGTAGTTTTTATTCATTTTGTAGCATTTAATAAATTTTTAAATGCGATTGTTATTTATTAGAGGATTGATTCAGTTTCCAAGGCATCATCCGATACAGCAGGCCATGGAGGAAACAAAGCAGTTAACTGGGTCAAGGCTATCAGAAGACTTTCTGATGTCAACGACCCACACCGACCCCCTAAAATCATCCAAGCCTATCATTAAAATCCCTTAACTTCACCAGGTGGATTTTTTCACCGCCCCATTAACATGCTATTATCAAGGAAAAGTCCCCAATTCCAAAGGATTGTTGGGAAATTTACAACAGTTGAGAAATACTGGGGCATTCGAGGTAAATTTGCCTGTATTGAGAGTACACATTCTCTTACACATCTACACAAAGGGAACATGATATTTATTTTCATGGGGAAAGAGAGAGTACATTTGGAAATAACATTTCCTTGAGTAACACATCATTTATTCTATTCTTATATACAATTACTGTAATGGGGTGTCTGTGTTACGCTACTGATGTTACGCGGTGTTACGGGATCTTGATTTGTTTTTCGAGAGGTAATCTATATTCTAATTCTCTATTTCTCTGTAAGCATTGGATGCCTTGTAAGTGCAAAGTCGAACTGCTTTTCACGTGTGTAGACATGTGGTGCACTTACAGTAAAAGCAGTCGCCTTCTTCTACCCACCATGTTATCATGACCTGTACCACGTGTACTAGGGATAAGCAAAAAAAAATGGATGCCTTTAGCATGAACTCTTTCTTCCTGATTGAAGTCCTACCAACACGAGAGTTAAGATTACTTTTATAAATTCATTTGCCATCTATCAATAAAATGTATAATAATTATTTTTGGAAATTTATTTATTTTCAGATATACCAATATCAAATATTATCTCTACAGACCTTACTGAAATGATGAAGGTTATTCAATGAGAGGGCTTAGTTTATCAGTGATGAACCCTCTAAACGGTTTCGACAAATTAATCTCCAGAAATCTCTACTATTGTATTGGATTGGTTTTCTTGACAAAAGTTAATACTTTTGCGGGTTAACATACAAAAAAAAAACAATAAACTAGGGTCCACAGTAAGAGTAACTTAGACACAGAAAAAGGTACGCTCAAGGGTACAACACTAACAACAAAAAGGAGATCAAAACAACTCACGATTTGTTAAATAAAATAAAACAGTACTTAGCTTTATTGTAGCGTTGGCAGGGAGCGGACCGGGGTTTCACAGGTATGCGAGGAGAAACACCAGACAAGCACACAGAGAACGCTTTAAGCGTCTCAACTCGAACACCACTCCACGACACCTCGCATTCCGTTTCAACCCTCTTTTATGTACAAACATGGCCACATTTGTCCAATGAGAAGGCGTGGGAGATCAGTTCACCCTTAACAAATAAACAACATACTTTCCGCATAACTGAGATTAAAACTGCTATGTTTGTCAAATAATTTGACATTCTTATATACCCTACATTTACTATGAAATGAAGATTAGGAATGTTTAAGGAACTAATGGAAATAAGGTTTTAGGTCTGTAAAGGTGCATACATATAATTACAAGAAATTGCATCGAGAAATGCTCTTCCGCAAATATAATTTCATACAAATCTAGCATTTGCAAATTACATTTATAAATTCAATTGTCATCTATAAAATGTATAATAATTATATTTTGAAATGTGTTTCTTCTCACATATACCATATCAAACATTATATATATTTGAGATTACTTTATTATACAGTAATATATTTATCTTATTTTTCAAAATAAAAACATATCCTACTGTACTTACAGCAATGGATCAATATTGGAAATAATCGTCTATATAGATGGTATTTTAATGTCTTATGCCGGAAGAATAGCTCTTTAATGTTGATATAGATGGTCTAAACTGTTGGTTTTCGACCGCTACGACCCGGGTTCGATTCCCGCATTGGGCACTTTTTTTCTGATTAAAAAAATGCTCAATGGCCCCCGATTCTATCAAAAGTCCAACCCCACCAGCGAGTGCAATGTAACCAAACGGGGCTCGGGCATATTTGTAAGTTCAAAGTCGAACTTCTTTTCACATGTGTAGATATGTAGTACACTTACAGTAAAAGCAGTCGCCTACCTCTACCCACCATGATTATCATGGCCTGTAACACGTGTACTAGGGATAAGAAAAAAAAAGATATACTAGGGGTACTGTTTGAATATTCGCATTAGTAAATTTAGGTATTAAAAATTAGGAACAGAATGTTGATTTTTAAAAAGTTTTGATGAAAAATTTAAAGGCTGAGGTGAACATACTAAGCGTTCGAGAATAAATTTGTTTTCATTCAAATAGCTACTATATTTTAGATGTATGTGAAACCAAAAATATGCATTACGTGTATTAATAAAACTTGGAAAATGAGTATATTTTTAAAATTTGATATTCAAATGAGATATAATAATAGAATATTTAAATAATAGAGTAATGCTAAATGTTTTTACAATTATTTTTTAATTTATTTTTATTTATTTATTGTTAAAAAAGCGCGAAGTCCAAAGGACTATTGTGCTGTGCTAGTATTATTTACATATATATGATTAATTATTTACACGATGAATTAGTAGTGTTTTGTAAATTATTGTACAAATAGTTCTAAACTTAACAAAGTTCTCATAAGATAGAATATATACACAAAGAGAATTTGGTAATGTTTCAAAGTATCTACATACAATTTGATTAGTCAGAGGGCAAGTTAAAAGAAGATGCTCTGGCGATTCAACATCTAAGCGGCATTCACATGTTGGATCATTGATAACATTCAGTTTGAATAGGAAACTTAAGAAGGGTCCTTTGCCTGTTAAGAATAAAGTAGTGAATTTATCAGAAGAAATGAAATTTGGGACAGCAATTGGAAAGAATTTATTGAACAGTTCATTAGATTGAGAAAGATAAAACTTAAATTTTAGATCCAGATATAGTTTATTTGTTAAACTACTATTTTTTTCTAAATATTAAAAATGAAATCTATTTAAATAATAAATTGGAAGGGATAATCCGAAATATTTGGATAATTTTACATTAGTTGAGGTGTTATGGATATGTGATCAAAGAAGAAATTCGTTTTGAAAAATCCAAATTATCGAAATCCATATTAAAAGGGTATTACTGTACCTTCTCCAAGCCCCTTTAAAACTATGTAAAGCCGTTTTCTGAATTTGGTAAATCGATTCATATCTGATCATTTATAACGCGTCGTAAATTGACGGATTTATAGAAATATATAATTTAAATTTAACAATTTATCAAAATATTCAGTTATAATATGATGCACTAGCGCGCCATCTGTTATCAAAATTCAAAACTATTTTAAAGGCGTAAGATTCTTTTTGATATAAAACAATTTTTACTGCCCTTACTGCAATGAAAAAATTAATGAGAGGGCCTGGCTCATCAGTGGTGAACCCTCTGAGCGATTTGCCAGTTTAATCTACCATACCGCTGTTATATTGCATTTTTGGAACTTCCTTTTATAGTGATGCTATTGGTAGACTCTTTGAATGGATATTTTAGAAGAACTATGGACATAAGCTTTGAGGACAGTAGAATTACATACATTTATAAATATATAATATGCTTTAAAAGCAAGTATAAAAGGAAGTTCCAAAAATGCAATATAACAGCGGTATGGTAGATTAAACTGGCGAAACCGCTGAGAGGGTTCACCACTGATGAGCCAGGCCCTCTCATTAATTTTTCCATTGCAGTAAGGGCAGTAGAAATTGTTTTATATCAAAAAGAATCTTACGCCTTTAAAATAGTTTTGAATATTCAGTTATATTAATGCATTTTTACGATATAAATTTATATATATTTCTAAATCCAACAAATTTGTTCACATTCCTTCTTAATAATTCATTCCTTTCGGCGAATTTGTATCGTTATAATCATAAATGAGAGTTATATTTCAAATAATATTTGTCCAAATATAAGTCTCTGAGCTACGGTTTATTAAAAAGGGTTAATAAATCTTAAATATATCTAATTGCAAAATCGCTATGGGTGCTTTTTACACTATAAAATGTTTGCAAGAACACTTTTAAATGAAAATAGATATATTGTAGTTGTGTTAATAAATTCTTAATAAACATTAAATGTTTTTATCTCGTTGTGAGTTCAAGTTTTATTATTGAGACGCTAAATATGTAAATTTCTATTCTATAAATGAATTTATCAACACCTAAACATTGTGTAATGTGACCAGACCATCTCTATAAATAGAAATGTCTTTTAAAATCACAAAATGACGTGAACTGAACTAACTCAACCACCTTCAGGAGAGATCAGGAATGGCCATGTAATTAGATAATCTCTCATGACAAGTTAGTTTATAGAAAAATAAACACGAGTCGGGGAGAAGAGATTCTTTAAAAAAAAAGCTCTTCTTCCCGATTGATGATTCTTCTTCTATAGCGGATAGAAAGCCTATTGTTGTCTTAAGTTAGACTCTGCCCAGAAAATTCTTTTAAAATGATTATCCCTAGTACATGTGGTACAGGCCATGATAATCATGGTGGTTAGTAGTTGACGACTGTTTTTACATTGAGTACAGTACATGCCTACAAATGCAGAAAACAGTTCGACATTTGCATTTACAAGTGTACCAGAATCCGCTTGATCACGGAAATCCACTGTTGGGGTTAGAATTTTGCAAGAATCGGTGGCTATTGACTCTTCTTTTAATACAGAAAAAAAGTGTCCAATGCGAGACGCGATCCCGGGTCATGGCTGTCGAAAATCGATGGTTTGTATCACTCATCCACTGAACTCCAGAATGAGAAAGGATATAAGAAATCCTTTTATTTATAAAGGGCCGTGCGTATTAGTTCAATTTCTGATAAAAATAAGGCTACTAAAGTGAAGGAAATTTTTGTACCTTTATATATATCGTTATTGAATATATAATTGGAACAGGGACATTTATGTTACAACGCTCTCTTTCTAGCTAGCTTTGGTACATATACTCATGGACAAAATTTAAGAAAGTTGTACCATTCAGCATATATATCGGGATTCAAATAATAACTCTGTCTGTTTGATACACAGTGATCTATTTACAAGAGAAAGAATCACCAGACATAATCTTGAAGAAGGAATCAAAGTTTACGGCGACGATTTTCTTTTATTTGTGCTGTATAATCGGCAATCTTTCGGACTTTGACGTCCTTCAACAGGCTTATAGCCCATAGTCTGTTGAAGGACGTCACAGTCCGAAAGCTTGCCGATTATACAGCACAAATAAAAGAAAATCGTCGCCGTAAACTTTGATTCCTTCTTCACAGTGATCTTGATTGAAGACACACGAGATATCCAAGTGTAAACAAAATTTCCTCCGTCTCTTAAAAAAAAAAAAAGGTCGACTGGAGACATCAAAAACGTTCCACCTTCTTAATTTTTTTCCATGAATATAGTCTAAATGTCATCTACACCACACCGTAATTTCGAACAATAACATCATTCCAAGAGATAAATGGAACAACCCTTAGAATACATCTACCGTCTAAATATATAGAATATGTAAGGACATTCAGACAGGTAAAAATATTTAGCCATCAATACACATGTTTACGAACAGATTCAATTTACCAAATGATGTATGTAATTTTATATTTACAAAAAAAAAAGGTTGGCGTATAGTTTATTAATATGGCTATTTGAAAGTATAATGATACGTTATCAGATTTACTGAAAAAAAGTTTTGATTTGTCTATAAATAGCGATATGACAGGGGCAGATTGCCAAGCTCTTTTGGAAGAGGAAATCGCCGATGACATCTCAAGGCTGAACGTTTTTACTTCCAGCATCAGAAACCCATTAACAATGACTTTAAAATGTAAGAGCTTTTATTACCGCTTTCTTATGGCGAATTTAGTGATAGCTACTTAGCTTGACCTTCGATGGAGGCCAATTTAAATCTCTCTTACTCTACTGTTATGTCAATACATGTTGGTACAGTTGAAACCTCTCCCATGAGAGAACGCCCATAAATATTGATACTTATGATCTCTTTTTATCAAAAATTGGCGCGGTTGAAGACTCTAGCTGTCATTGTGGCAACGAATTCCAGGACTCGAGACATCTACTGCTGGAATCCCCACTCTTCTTCACCGCTAGACAACAGACAATAAATAATGTTGTATATCTATATCAATTTGTAAATATCAGAGAGAATTATCATAGGTTTAACTATTTTTGTAGATATATTTATAATCATCTTTCAAACCTGAAAGGTTAGGGTTCCTAATATATATTATTGTTTCTCTTTTTATTTTGATTATTTTTTCTTGTACAATATGTTTATAACTGTTTCTGTTTTAAAAAATGTAAATCGACGCAATTATCCCTAGCCGGGATTAAATAAAATGGTCTCTCCTGGAGGTAGCTCTTCAATAGAGGTTGATTTAAATGTAACAATATTTATAGATTCATTAGAAGTAGTTGTTCAGTGAAGTGAACTTTCATCACATGGGTCATTCACCAGAGATTTTCCTGTATTTACAAATGCGAGTACTTTTATTAAATCTATAAATATTGTTACATTTTTATCAACCTCTTTTGAAGTATCCCCTCAGGAGAAATCAGAAGTATCAATGTTTTATATGCGTTCTCTCATTAAAAAGGGTTCTACTATATATATAAAGAGATTGTGTATAAAATCATTAGCAATATTATTTCATTTATTCCAGAGTTACAACGCCCCTTTAATTTTAAATATATTTTCTTAAATAAGAATCCTTTTTCAAAATCTTTTTTTTTTGTCATTGAAGTATACAGTCTACACAAAGGTAACGATTCGATTCATCAAGAGAGAGAAAAGGTTTTATCCATATTCTGGAATTAAAATAATTCCACATTTGGTTGATATCAATTCCAATAGATTTAGTAGAGTTTTGCATCGCTCAGTTT